AATCGTCTGCTCAAAAATATTTTTATTGTAAAAAGTTCAATGTTGCATAAACTTAACCTTGGTTTTATGATACAATTCATGTTAGGAAACAACCATTTCATCTTTCACATACTTTCTTATAGGAACAAAATAGTCTTCTTTACATTTGTAAATGACAACACCAGTTGTTTTACAGTTTAAAACACTTTTAAAATCAGCTTAACTTCAAAATGCCAAAACACTTTAAGAACAATTCCAATTTCTATTGAGATTTTCTCCATATAATGGACTTCATTGGGAACCAAACGGTTCAAGGTTCAAATTAGAGTTTCAGTGCAGCTTCAAAGGGCTTTAAACGACACCAGACGATGAATTAGGTTCTTATCAGGACCCTTCGAGTCATGACTCGAAAAAAGATTCGTTCATTTTGATGAACGAGTTCGAACAGGAGAGTCAAGAACGCACATCACAGAACAGAGAAAGGCGAGCATTTGTGCTTAAAAAACTTAAACTTTTTTATTTCACTTGATAAGACTCTTATTCATCGTCTGGTGTCGTTTAAAGCCCTTTGAAGTTGCAGTGAAACTTTAATTTGGGCCTTGAACCGTTTGGTTCCCATTGAAGTCCATTATATGGAGAAAATCCTGGAATGTTTTCATCAAAAACCTAAAAAAAAAAAGAAAGAAAGACATGGACATCTTGGATGAAATGGGAGTGAGTAAATTATCAGCAAAAGTAAAAAAAAAAAAAAAGTGAACTACTCCTTTAACTTTAGTTGTTTTTTTTTAACACTTCACAATCCTTTCTAGTATTTTACATATCAGGGAGGTTTATCTTTTAAATCTTTATTTTGTTTCCACCTTATTCATTTAAATATTCCATGCTGTTGTTTCCCTTTTTAGGCCTCACGTTTGTTTAAGTGTCGGAAAACTCAATTGTTTATTTTCCCTGACAACTAAAAAGTGTTATAATGTATGTTTAAGAGCTTGAATTATATAATTACAAAGCAAATTCTAAAAGAGTTTGTCGTCAATTGTATAAACTTAACCTCCAATTTTGTTTTTCAAGGTTTCATAGTCCCATTAACAAAGAACTTCAACAACAACTCGAGCCGTTCTCATGCGCGTGATGGTCGAGCATGTCTGATGACTTTTTGAGAGAATAAACGTTGGCTTTTCTCTCCGATCCTCTCCATTCATCCCGTGTTTTCTTTGGACCCAAATCCCTGTCTTAAAGTCCGGCTGTCATGGTGATAGATGGGGATTCTTCCCCTTTCTGTCCTTTTGTTCACGGGCCCGAACTCTCAGCAGTTTCTGTTTCGAACAAAACCTTCAAATGACTCTGAGTGAATGTGATTAGGTTGAAGGACCTCAGACAAATTGAGTGGACAAAAACACTGGTCATTGTCCTGCCATTTGCTTCCATTGTTCGCATTCTCCACAGTGAAACCCTTCAGAACATTAGCCACACAGTGTGACCATCCTTCACTCTCACTGGAGCTGTCCTTTTATCTCCTTTCACATTCACTGGATTCATTACGGCCTACAAAGGAGAGCCAACAAAACAGCTTGTGATGTCAGCTGGATTCTGGGTTCGTCACGGGAGGGCTGTGTGCTCGACGCTGGAGCGGGTGAAAAGACTCGGGACCCCTGTAATGGCGGTCCGAAAGCACGTCAAGCACTGGGTGGCCGTACGTTTTGGTAGATACTGCATGTCGTCCATGCTGAAGGACGCTGTATGCTCTATACATTTCAAGAGGAATTCGTTCAATCGATCCGGTACTTTTTGAAGGTTGCATGATTGGTTATTGAACCCGGCGGTTGTGTGCCTTTCAGAATTGAGAATTTCAGTTGCGGTATGATTTTGAATATCAACAGTGTTTGGGAAAGTTACTTTTAAAAGTAATGAGTTACGATATTGTGTTACTTCCTAATTGCATTGTTTCTTTTTATTGTGTGTTGTTACTTTTGTGTTACTTTTTCTCATCTGGGCTCGGCTTGCTTGTTTGCTTTTAAATAACAAAAAAGCAGTTCTTTCACACCAAAAATGAAATGATGAAGCCTCAGGGTGAAGTGAATGCAAATTCACGCCTGACGTTCGAGGACGCGTCTCAAACCTTTCAGCTGTGCTGGATTGCAGAAGAATAGGACGCAAGAGAAGAAGGTTCAACGCTCTTACTTAAAGGAGTAGTTCACTTTTAAAAAAACTTTTGCTGATAATTTCTTCAGTCGAAAAGAAATTAAGGTTTTTGATGAAAACATTCCAGGATTTTTCTCCATATAATGGACTTCATTGGGAACCAAACGGTTCAAGGTCCAAATGAGAGTTTGAGTGCAGCTTCAAAAGACTTTAATCGACACCAGATGATGAATAAGGGTCTTATCAAGCGAAACGATCGGTCGTTTAAAAAAATAAATAAAAAAGTTTAAGTTTTATAAGCACAAATGCTCGCCTTGCTCTGTTCTGTGATGAGCGTTCGTGACTCTCCTGTTCGAACTCGTTCATCAAAATGAACAAATCTTTTTTCGAGTCATGACTCGAAGGGTCCTTGATTAAACCCTTATTAATCGTCTGGTGTCGTTTAAAGCTGCACTGAAACTCTCATTTGGACCTTGAACCATTTGGTTCCCATTGAAGTACATTATATGGAGAAAATCCTGGAATGTTTTCATCAAAAACCTTAATTTCTTTTCGACTGAAGAAAGAAAGACGTGGACATCTTGGATGACATGGGGGTGAGTAAATTATCAGCAAAAGTTTTTTTTTAAAAGTGAACTACTCCTTTAATAATGTCAAGTTGTCATGACAAAGACCCACTGTTTTTTTTTTTATTTATTTTTTTATTTTGAGGAATTGTGAATCGTTTTTTGAACTGCATTAAGCATCATGTTCACACAGTGCACACAACGCCTCTGCACTCGCAATTTCTCTCAATGCAGGACAGCTCAGTCAATAAATAGTGTCGGCCCAGTGTTGGAATCCAGATGTGGGTCAGATCTGGGCCGATGCTATATTGCTGTCTGGGAAAGTAACTTGCGTTACTCTGGTGGCCCGAGTTTGATTCTCAGCTTCAGGTCCTTTGACGATCAAGTTCCCCTCTCTCCACCCATGCTTTCATATCTGATCTTAAACTGTCCTATCCAATAAAGCCATGATGAGGTCAAAAAGGCCTTGACTGAGAAAATTATACATTTTCCCATGAATGCATTGACTTTCTTTGAAATATTATTCAACAAATTCCTATAAAATTTCAAATTCCAATTCAGTTTCCTGTGGGTTTGTCAAATTTGCACGTATTGATTTTCCCCAAACCTCACACACGTTCATCGATATTATTTCTTCAGTCTAAAGTCTTCTGCACAGTTATATAAGTGACTCTTTCTGCAGCACATTCATGTTCTTTGGTGGTTCTGTCAAAGCACTGAAGGCAGGGCAAAGCTGGACATACAATGGCTCTTCTTCCAACTGAAAATTAAAGGATTTCTCCTTTTAACGCATTGTTCTTTTCTTCCGCTCTCTCCAAAGGACCTTCTTTTCCTTTCTGCTAAATAAGCTTCTCTTTGAGAGATAACCGAGAGCACTCATGCAGCTCCAAGATGCGTTCCGAGATGTTTTCAGGAGAATAAAAGGAGGCTAAACACAGAGCCGGTTTTAAGAGTCATTTGTTCCTTTAATTACCCCGGAGCATATTGTTCTGGTGTGGTCCTGACTCATGACAGACACCTAGTTCTCAGGGTATGATCGCTCCAATCACAAAAGGATCTTATCACTTCCTGTTGATGAAAACATGGTTTGATTTCATGTTCATTTGTGTATGCATGAAATACAATGAAAACACACTGACTAGTGTCAATGTTTATTGCGCTTAAGCGGAAAAAGAGATTGCAAGGCTATGTTTGTAGATAGTTTAAGGAATACATATATATATACATACATTCGTATTCCTCATTGTAACATGACCTCATCCCTTTGCATGTAAATGCCGTCCAGTTATTATTTGATATACCTTTTTTTAAAGCACAATTAAGCTGTTATGCTTTATTGCTGCCAATTGTAATTTGGGCTTGAGTAGTTTATATTACAAGGATGTGAGGTGGATAAATTGTCTGCAAATAGTACATCCATGGTTACAAGAAGATTATGAAGATTTAAGCATACACAAAGAGACATCGTTAAAGGAAACGGCGACAGTGTCGAATTTCCACACTTGACTTAATAATAAGCACTTCCCTTCTCTAAATACCCTCTAATATTGAAAGCCATTCAATAAAATAAATCATAATCACATAGTGATGGAAAAACGCATATGACCTGGAGTTAAGGACACAATATTAACTGAACTTCAAAGGGTGTCTATTAATGACACCGTCTCTGTGATATTAGTTAAGCACTGAGTTGCCAAAACAAAGATGACAACTGAGTATTTATTTATTCATTCATTTAGCTTTGGAGAGCTAATTTATACATTTGTATTTTAAATATTAAAAAAAATAATGAACTGATATAAGGGGCACTATATACAATGTAAACAAAATTTTGTATAATAACCTGCTTGCCTTAAAATTTTAAGTTAATTGAAATGGAAAAATTGAGTTAATACAATGAAGGAGATTCATTTAATCACCAGAAACTCAAAATATTATGTTATCTGAACTACATAAATGATCTAAGTTGATTTGACAAAAGAAAAAATGCTGTGATTACAAATCATGAAAATATTTTTCTTACAGTGATTTGCTATCATGACTTTTTTTTTTGTCAAAAAATTTTAACAATTTTTTTTTGTTAAATTTCAATTAACTTATCTAGCAACCAGATTAGGCATGTTACTATTTTAAGTTAAACCAGCAATGTTTTTTTTAATGTGTACACATTTTACAACAGTGTAGTTTTGATTTTGTATAACATCTTTGCTCATAGGCCTATATTAGGCCTAAAGTTTTGATGACTAATACTATTCTAAAAAAACTGTTAATAATAATTCTATTTACCAACTACTAGTTATCTGTTAAAGATTTAATAATGTAATATTGCCATCGGAGTGCTACCAGTGGAAGTAAACTGCCCACACACAGTGCTGCTAGATTTCACAGGACACACACGCAGTGACGTCATTTATCAGAGGACTAAATGACACGCCCACTCCATTCAAAACTTAGCGCAGGCGGTCCAAATCTGAGCAGAGTGTGATGCGCCTTAACTCAGGTCACTTCAGAGACTCACCGTGCGTCCATGGATAACAGCTAGGCTACAACTATTGCCACTTGTTTGAAGAGATAAATAGCCGTATCTGATGGCATTTTTGTAAGTTAATGACACTTGACAAATAGTCAAACTTATTTCTAGGTGGAGACACAGGTTTTGGGGCCATGTTACAAAAGGTAACATAGCCAGGTCTGACTGAACTGTGCGTTAAAGGAACTTTGGGCTGCTTTCCGCTGGACCGAATTGAAAAAGGGGCACCATAGGAAAGTGTTTCAGAAATGGCAAAGCCTATGGACCATGTCAAGCGTCCTATGAACGCTTTTATGGTGTGGTCGAGGGCTCAGAGACGCAAGATGGCACTGGACAACCCGAAGATGCACAACTCTGAGATCAGCAAACGCCTCGGAGGCGAATGGAAGCTCTTGTCAGACTCTGAAAAAAGACCTTTTATCGACGAGGCCAAACGCCTGAGAGCCGTTCACATGAAAGAACACCCGGATTACAAATACAGACCGCGGCGAAAGCCCAAAACCTTGGTCAAAAAAGATAGGTATCATTTTAATGTGACGTATAATCTGGGTGACAGTGACCCGTTGAAAAGTGCGCGGTTACCCAGTGACGCGCTCGCGGACTCGCTGAGCGCGGACAAAACATCTGTCGCGGCCGCTACTCGGGTGTTTTTCAGTCACCACCACCTGTCCGCCAACCCCTATCAGTTTCTTGACCTGAATCCCAAAATTGCGGAATTACCCCCTGCTCCTTTCCCACATTACTCTTTGCTCGGGTATCCCGGTGGAGTCTCCGCGTTCCCCGGCATGGGCGTTCTGGCCGGTGCGCCACACGCTCACCCGTCTCCGGGGAACCCGGGCCACATGGTGCCCTATAACTGCCTGGGCTGGCCGGGTTCTGGACCTGCTGTTCCTTCTTCTTACGTGCTTTTACCAGGAATGACCAAAGCTCAGCACGAACATTACCTGACATACGCCGCCACGATATGATTGGATGCTCTTGTGGTATATGGTCACGTGCACTTGTTTAAAGTTCTGCATTTGTAAAAAATAAATAAATTTGTAAAATATTATTTGTGCAAAAGGAGTTCGCTTTTAATCTTTTTTTTTTTTTAGGAAACACTATATTTTACAGTGTCCTCCTTGTTACATGTTGCCTACTTAGTAATAACAGTAAATAATGCATAATAACATGCAACTAAACCAAACTCTAGCCTATTTATACTATAGTAAGGCTACATGTTGCAATTAATGTCACTCAGTACCTAAGTTACACTGTAACGAGGACACGTTAAAATAAAGTGTAGCCTAACCTTTTTTGTATTTGATGAAATTTACGATTTTTAAAAAAATTGCAGCTGATATGGCTATATTTTACAGTTAACTCTATATGTCATTAAAAACATAATGTTGATACAACAGCCAAAGAGCTATTACAGTCTGTTACTGTAAATGTGCTGATAATAACAAAAACCAAAGTTTTACACAAACACATAAATAATGCTATCAACATTAATCGATATAAAACACTCAAATACCTACATTAATAACAATAATTACAAATAAATGTTAAATACTTACAATAAATGGTTCACAGAATGAATTTTGGGAATACCTACTGGCATAAATTGTGAGACATTCATACTTTAAACTTTCATAGATAAAAAAAGATTACATTTTTTATATTGTAGTTTGGCAGTACACTGTGAAAAAATATTTTCAAGATTTGTTATCACATTTTTTTCTTTTGTCAAATCAACTTAAATAATTTATTTAGTTCAGATAACTTATTATTTTGAGTTTCTGATGATTAAATCAATATCCTTCATTGTATTAACTCACTTTTTCCAGTTCAATCAACTTAAAATTTTAAGGCAACCAGGTTACTTAATTTTTTTAAGTTAAACCAACAATATTTTTACAGTGATAGGCTATGCATATATGCGTGTAGTTTTCTTCATATATTTAATTTTGCCATATATTGTCTTGTAAAATGTTATTTTACACCATGTATGATTTAGTATAGTTAACCAATTAAAAGTTTTTAGGATTACATTCTTCTGTTAAAATTACTTTGTGAAATGACAAAACAGGAGAAAATTTACAGAAGGAATCATCTTCCGATCACATTCTAATATCTTTGCCATTGTCAAAATAATTTCAACCACAGAAAAAACCTTGTTTGAAGACTATAGACCAGATAATTCTGCAATATGATGAGAAAACAGATGACAAGTGCAGAATACCAAACGGACAGGGAAACAATCTGTTGAGAGGAAAGCCATCAAATGCTGATTCAGTGATGTAACTTATAGAATCAGCTGGTTTTAAAGCCTAAACAGATGAAAGAAAGAACAGTCTCTGAGCAGTGATGACGAGAAACGACAAGAGTCTCCAGGAAGCTGTTAAGAGGGAAGTGAATGAAACGGACAGAATGACAAAGGAACTCAGACACAAGTAGCTCCTCTTTTCACCAGCTCATGTGATCAGTTCACTTGCACTTCTCATCCTATTGTTGGCTAAACTCAAGACAAAGGAATAAGTGATGAATAAATTACACAGACTTATTTGAGTTTATACAGAATTTTTCAGAACAGTGAATCATTTAATAAGCACATACCATCAGTGACAGAGTAATACATACCTTTAATATGTGCAACCTGATATTAATGACTACTTTAGGGTCAAGCAATACAAATGAAATATGTTTTGCATGTCAGTGAACTCAAAGCACCCTAAAACCAGTGGTATAGACACTATTGTCTATAATCAGCCATGAAACTGGTTACAAAGATCATGAGTAATTATCTGCAGCTTGTGTTTTATGTAAGATAAGAAATCATTATAGCAGAATGATTACGCTGCAGCTGTTCTACAGTATTATGTTTACAATATTTTCATAGGACCAAAATACTAGGGTGAAACAGGTTGATTGGGACACTTTTCCCAGTCATCTCAATGGCAAAAAGTGTCCCAATCAACCCGAATTCACCCCTGCAACAAAATTATAAGTGTCGTCGTGTAACAATTAACTAAAAATTAAAATCAAATTAAAAAAATCACCCCCATTTAACGTTTCAAAGAAAACCATTTTCTGCTAAAACATCTCTCGAATAAGACAAAACGTTAATAGGTTATACTGAATTAGAATTTCCATCCTAATTTGAATTTGTTGTGCTGAAGCTCGTCTTTTTATTTCCGAATAAGAACACCCGAATATTTAAAGCCATAGCTCCCTCTGGTGCTAACAACTGGTATCTCTCTCTCTCTCTCTCTCTCTCTCTCTCTCTCTCTCTCTCTCTCTCTCTCTCTCTCACACACACACACACACACACACACGCACACACGCACACACACACACGCACACACACACACACACACATAAATTAAATTGTATTGTATTAGCCTAACAATTACATTAAAATACAAACTATTAAATACAAATGTTGTTGAACAATAATAGGTCTATTGATTTTACCAGAAAAAAAATAGTTTTGAACAATAATAGGCCTATTATATATGATTTTGATTTTGCCGGGGGAAAAATACATTTGGAATCCTTTGACATTTTTATCTAGTGTGAGAACGACATCAACTATTATTTTTGTGATGTGAAAGATACGCGCCCACTGTTGGAAATATGTGTCAGTGTGTAACACAAAGTTGAGATGTTGCCCAGAGAGAGAAAGAAAAACAATAACTGTTACGTTAGGTGTCGGAGGAAATCAGGCGAGATGGTCCTCACTGCAGAACATGAAATGCACGGGGAGGAGTCGGATCCAGATCCAACTCCTCCAACCTTACGTATGCCTAAACCTACCCAGCTCCACCCCCTGGCTGACCCCTAAACCTACCCAGCTCCACCCCTTGATCCCTAAACCCACCCCTAAACCTACCCAACTCCACCCCTCAGATCTGGATCCGACTGAGTCGCCTTTTGCTAGGAAACGGTAAACAGAAACGATTCAGAGGCATCACAGGGTAAGGCCTATGGGTAAGAAAGACGATGGGAAATAATGCTAGTAGTAACGCTAAAATATAATTATTTTACCAACCACAATTGTAAATATTAGAAATGGACGCGTTTTGTGTATCTTTTTCCATTTCTACTGCTTATCTATCTATCTATCTATCTATCTATCTATCTATCTATCTATCTATCTATCTATCTATCTATCTATCTATCTATCTATCTATCTATCTATCTATCTATCTATCTATCTATCTATCTATCTATCTATCTATCTATCTATCTATCTATCTATCTATCTATCTATCTGCATGTCTGTTTGGTTTTCTGTTTGACTTTCTGTCTATCTTTCTGTATGTCTGTTTGTTTGTTTGTTTTTCTATTTGTATTGACAAGCCTGTTATGATTTTGAGTAATAAAATACATCTTCTCTTTTGAGGACTTTTGAATCTGTGATCCACAGTAGCAACCATGTCTAAAAAAGCAGGGAAGAAAGGAGGTGGAAAACATGCCGGGATGACAGAGGAGGAGAGACTTCTGTACATGCAGCAAAAGGCTCAAGCTGAGGAGGATACTGCCAAGAGAAAAGAGGACATGCTCACCCACTTCCTCAAGGTGTGACAAGCAGCATATTACTGTATATTTGAGCTAACTTATAAGTAAATATTTTAGATTAAGAAATCATTGAGTCGTGTCTTTTATTTGTATACTGCTTTTTGTTTCAAGACAGGTCATATAAACCATTTCACAAGATGTAAACAACACTGGTCCAGAAACACTTCCTGTTTCAGTTTGTAACTGTTTTCTTTATTTCACATGTAAAGAAAACATCTTAAAGATGTTTGTTTAACTTTTTGATTCAGTTTTATATGTTCTGTTGGTTGTATTTTATCCCAGCTTTTATGTAGTGTTAAAAAACTGAAACAGGAAGTGCTTCTGGACCAGTGTTGTTTACATCTTGTGAAATGGTCTATACAGAAAATGTAATGTTATGTCAGGCAAATGTTCTGTCAGGCATTTCATATCTGTAGAACCTGTCAGTCATTTAATGGATTTAGTTTTAATGAATTAATTTTGATTTTACAGTAAATATGATTTAATTTTTGATGGAATTTTACAGCATGTAATATACTATACTTTCGCTAGAATTTTTTTAAATAACCTGTTAAACACAAAAGTATGCAATCATTTAAGACATTTCTCCTTAAATAGAACCAGCTAACGCTTTCTTGAAAATTGAATCAGGAACACTACGGTTCTGTATATTGAACCCCACTGGACCCATTTTAAGTCCTAAAAGTCCAATTTAGTTATTTATTTTATTTTTATTTAAAGGAATTTAGCCAAAAAGCATTGGTCATTGCAATAAATAAAATATTTTGTACGAAATACATTACAGTAGTAGATATTGTTTAAAATATTAAAGTACAATTCACAGGTCTTTGGTTTGTCCTAAAATCTCATTTTGTAAATTACAGTATATATGCATAAAAACACATCATTCATGTTTCAAATCAAGCCATTCTTCCAGAGCCATTTTTACCCAGCAAACTCACTTTGTCACTCATTCCACAACAACCTAAAAACACTAACAACCGGAAGCATTATACAATGGTTTCCATTGTAAAATTTCTTTACAAAACATGAATGACTCTCTACTGTTTATTCACTGCAGTTTATGTGACATAGTCAATGTTTACATTTAGATGGTAATGAAACTGAAAGACTAAAACCTGTGTAGGTGTTCAGCTACATCTATTTGTTTCGATAGTATGTCATTATTTAGATTCTGAATATATTTCAATATGGCATTACTGTAATGTTGAAATATAACAAAATACTGTCTTATCCATTTGTGTATTATGTTAGGTTTTGAGCAACAGTTTTGAGAAGAGCATGTACAAATTAAAAGATGTAATCATCGAATGCATTTTGTCTCAAAGCAATGATAAATGATCCAAAGTGTAGCCTGCTATTGTGCTCACTGCACAGTGTGTGAAGAGTTTTGAAAAAGTGAGCTAAGTATTGAGAAATGGGTCTTGCACCGGAAATGATTTGTTTTTTAGGATAAACTGAAGGAAGAGGAGAAGAACACCGCTCTGAATCTCTACAAGCTCCGGCAGCAGTGGCGTGCTATTTTAACACAGACCAAGACTGCAGAGCTACGCAATGACATCTCATTCCTCAGCCAGAGCTTTGAGAGAGTCCTCGACCACAACGACAACTTCATTAAGGTGACTACATATAATATATAGACTTAAATTCTATAACTTTCATTACAGAGTCTTGGAGTAACAAATGTGTGTGTTTTACAGAGTTTGGTGGTTGATCTGTCTGAGAGGGAGCAGCAGTCAGAGCTGGCACGCAGTTCTCATCTGCAGAACGTGGACCGTCTGTTAAAGCTTCATATGAGTCGGCTGGAAGAACTAGCGCACGACTTCAACACCCGTCTCGAAGAACTTAGCTCAGAGTCTAATACTGAGAGGTAAACACACACACAATCACACAAAAGGTAGTGTTTTGGTTTTAAGGGAGTGAATTTGGCCAGTTTACCAGTTCCTGACTATTTAAATCGTCATTATAGCTTTTAAAGGGATAGTTCACTTTGAAATGAATTTTTGGTATGTTTAGCTTACCTTAAAGGGCATCCAAGATGTAGGTGTCTTTGTTTCCGCAGTAGTTTCAATTTTGATATTATTAGGTCAAACCGTTCTTGTCTATCAGTCATATAATGGAGGTCTATGGTCACCAAATTAAACGTCCAAATTAAACATGATTTAATGACTCGTAAATTTAAGTACACACTGATGGCCTAAGACACGAAACGAGCGGTTTGTGTGAGAAAACGAACAGTATTTATATCGTTTTTACCTCTTGTGACCACAGCCACAAAGCGACGAGGTAAAAACTATATAAATACTGTTCGTTTAAATAAAAATTAAAATCATTTTAAAAAAATCAGATTGAACCTAGCTCTAAAAAAGAAGTAAACTCGAGGGTGTCAGCTTGAAGTTCATTTCACTTTTGTTGTTGAATTTGTATATTTTCTGATTATCTATTGAAATATTGATATTATCATAAGGATTTATGAAATTCAATACAAGAAACTCCAACTAATACCATAAAACACTGCTAAAGTCACAAGAGCATTACTAATAATGATGTTTACACTGTTTTCCCACCCAAAGTGATGTCATGAACAGGATTACACACAAACAACGGTATTATATTTTACACACAAAAAAAAAATATGGGGACATGAAAATGCACTGCGAAGGATTGAGCCAATGTAGCATCATCTGTGTGTTATTTCTTTTAAATTCCAGGGAGCAGATTCTTTCACAGCACCAGCAGGAGAGTGAGAATTTGGAGATAGTAATGTTTTCCATGGAAAAGCACTACGCTGATATTGAGAATAAGGCGAGACGTGACTACGAGAGCAATGGCAAACAAATTAAAAAACAGGTACTCATTTTATTATGTTTTTATTTATTCATTTGGCAGATGCTGTTATCCAAAATGACTTACAAATTGTCATAGTGCCATATTCATGGGTTTAGTAAAAACTGGAATTAGTCAACAAGCTAGAGCAAAGGTAAAATACAAAAAAAGAAAATGAGAATAGAGTTAGAGTAAATGTCTTGGTTTACAAAATCATAATTGTTGGATTAACTTAAAATGTGCAGTGCAATTCCAATATTAATAGAACATGAATTACAAAAATACTGATTACACAAATGTAGGAGTTTACAAGTGTACACTAGTAGTACTTATCAAAAGTTTGGAAGAATAAATATTTTTTTTAACTCTTTAATTTAATTAATTTATTTAATTTTTTTAATAATTTTAATTTCATTAAAAAAATTTTTTTTTGAAGTCTTTAACCAATGGAGCAGAGCTGAGGGAGCACAATGACCAAGGCAGCCAGACAGAGTTTAGAGTTTTGACTATAGATTGAACAAAAGGATGTTAGCAGTTGGAGGGGAAAAAAAAACATACAGTAATATAATAATATGTTGTTGGTTTTATTTCTGCAGAACAAAGAGGAAAATCAAATAGTGAAAAATCAGACGAAAGGGGTTATGGAGAAACTGGGACGAGAACAGCATGAGGTTTTAAACAAAAACAAAGACTTTTCGAAATTAGTCGACTCTCTGGATCTCAAGGTTAAACAGAGTGATAAAGAGATTGACACAGACAAACAGCACATTCAGAAATTGCAGGTAAGACTAAAATTCAGTTTTTTCTGACTACTTTGGACAAGTATTTTTCTTCCGATTGTGATATTTCATTATTTTGATGATTTTATTGCAAGTTAAACTGTACAAAACATTTTCAGGAGTCCATCTCAGCTCTGCGCTGTCAGCTGAGCTCTGGTGAAAGCGAAGAAACAGTTCAGCTTCGTTCAGACCGTGACAAGCTCACCCAGGAAGTTCAACGTCTCAGAGTCCGGATCAGGGCGGACCAAAACACTCGGAGAAAGCAGCTCACTAAACTTACCATTCAATACAACAATGCTGCTAAAAAACTACAGGAGACAACAGCTTTGGTACATTTATTACACTCACATTTAATATAATCTATTTCTTTTTTCTTTTCTTTTACATTTTTCCAAAGTGCTTTATGCCTTCAAGTAATAGTTATGTTTTGTTGATCCTGAAACAATATTTCTGTCCCAAAACATTGTCCTAACAACTATTCGTACCTCTAAATTTAAACCTTGTTATAAACCTAAACTGGACATTACAGTAATTATAAGCCTAGCCCTTGAATCTAATTGGTTGATTGGAATGTTGTTCCAGGATCAACAAAGATGTTGGAACTTGGTGAGATGCAATAACTTTAAAGTTGCACTGTGTAACTCTTTTAGTTTATTCTTAGCTAAAAACACTTAGTTCTTTCAAAAATATATGTGCTCATTAATGTATATTTGCTTCGTTCAAGTAATGAACTATTCTCGTGAGAGTATAATATGCCATTGAAAATACATGCGGGTAAGGGGTTCAAAATCACACAGTGTAGCTTTAATGACCAAGATTTACAGTAAAATCTATTATATTTAATGTCTTACATGCTTAAAATGACAATCATGGACATGTCAAAAACATCATAATTTCATGATACATGCAAAACTAAATCAGAACAGCCTTTTAATGATTTAGATTTAAACATTTTATGCATAATAAAACATACAACTTTATTTAGTTTAGATACATCCTTATTACTGTAGTTAATATACCAGTCAAGCTGAAACAGGAAACTGTGTCTTGTATCATTAGTAGACCAGACTTTTTTTTTTCTTGCAACAGGGATGCATTTTGTGCATTTATTGGAAGTAGAAATTATGTCATTCTGGAACTAAGTGAATTCATTTTAGCAATACTCTCAACATCCAGTCAGTCGCCCATTCTGTCTCTTCCAAAGGGGGAAAGGTTATTGCGTCGCTCTGAACTGTGCAGTAAGTTGGAGACGGAGTACGAGAAGGTTCTGCCCTTCTACAAATCATCATTGAGTGAAGAAGAGCAAAGTCAGGAGAAAGCCAATGCCATGAAGTTGGCGGATGAGGAACACACTCAGGTTCATTAAAATCACACTCCATCACAATCCACTGTAAACTTGCTTTTAAATCTGCCATCATTTTGACATGGAGTGGCCACTTTTTACAATCCAATGAATTCCAGATAGAAAAAAAAACTTTATTTTCTCAATGGATATCCTGTTTCACTCAGATAATGTCCCTTTGGGGGAAGTAATTTCAGATATGTCATGCAGTTTCATTACTTTGAGTCTTTTACTTGATGTGTTAGCATGTCTTTTGAATTAGTTCACCCAAAAATGAAAATTCTGTCAGTATTTACTCACCCTCATGTTGTTCCAAACCTCTATGTGTTTATTTGTTCTGCTGAACACAAAGGAAGATTTTTGGAAGAATGTTTTAATCAAACAGATCTCAATCCCCATTGACTACCATAGTTTTCTCCTCTTGTCATCCTCTGCCCACAGCTAACACATGATTATGCTCCTCTTGAGAAGTTTTGGCAGCGTTACAACAAGGTTCAGCTCGACTGTTTGTGTCTAAAGCGAGAGAAAGCGCTTCAGTTACAGGAGAATGAACGACTGAGGAGCTGTCTGAAGCAGTACCTGGATGAAGTTTCGATCTCTGATGAGAGTTTTCAGCAACAAAAGCTTCTGGTGGTGTCTTCTTCAACTCTACAGACCCCCGCTGCGACTGAGAGACGTGGTCAAAAGCGCTACGTGGTCCAAGAAGCAGCGAATATTGTGCAGAAACAGCTTTAAGGAATACATCTGAAACGTGAAATCAAAGTGTGTTTCTGGAAGCAATTAAAATGTTTTATGCAGTTGGTAAATCTGTTTATTGCAATGATCTCAGTGTAATTTTCTTATTAAATTTAGGATTTTAGGACACTTCCTCAAAGTCAAATCCTTATCCTTTTCTTAACTTTATATTTGACACGTGCTTTTAAATGTTGGCCGATGCGGTTCATTACCTCAAGATGTCGCCAAATCTTGAAGATCCTTTACATCTGGAAAACATGTCGATGCATTTTAGAATGAAAGGTGAAGTTGAAAATAGACTACATTTTTGAATTATTTGAAGACATTTTGCATCTCGTCCCTATAACTATAAGCTCTATCACTCATAGATGCATGGCAAACCTCAAACAATGATGTGTGATGTTTTTTAATAAAGACATGCTGTATTAATCTAGTACAAAACACGGCAACAAATAACATAAGCTATGTTTTATGGAACTTGTTAACTAATACATAACATTATTATTATGGAAGCCAAAGAAAAGCATCACAAAACTGAAACGTTTTGTTTTAATTGCAGTGCAAAATAAAGGCAACATGATTAACGTTAGATTATTTTTTATTTGCCTCAAAATGTCGTCAGTAATTTGTTATTTAGCCAACTTGCAAAATTGCTGTAGGCTGTTTTATTATTTTATTTTATTTTTTGTGAGAAACAAATCCTCAACCTCAACATTACCTGTATCATTTATGCGTGCCGCAATGCATGCTGGGAACACACTCAAACACAGACCTCTTTACAAATCAGAGCATGTTGTTCATTATAAAATTCTTAGCAAAGTCTATCTTTTACAAACGGTTGAAGACAATGCTCTAAGTCTAAGATTTGCTGACTCTTGAAACTTTTTTAAGCTCTTTGACCTTTAACCCTTTCTCTCTTGGTCACCTGGAGGAGAACACTTCCCTACGTTTTGAGAGGCCATATGTAATACTTAGTACTTGATTGAATTTTGGTAAGCAGAAAGACCTTTCACCTTCAAGACAGTATCACTCGATCCTTTTAAAAAGCGACTTGAATTGGATTCAAGGTAAACATTTGTATCAGTCCATGCGTTCCTTGAGAATAATGCTTGCACGATTCACTACAGCTAACAATCTGAATGTTAACTTATGTTATCATTCCTATTAAGTTGTGAAAACGTTATTTCTGACGTTTTTCTTGGTTATTATAAGTTAGGGGACTTATAAGTTAGTTAAGGGAACATTCTGAAACAAGTATAAAAAAAAACGTTAGTCACACTCACACACGTCTAAATATTTCAGAAAAAAACCCTTCCATGAGTAATTGTATAACTCTACAACTATTTGCGTAACAGGAAGAATGTTTGTTCATATCTTGGAGAGAACCTTGCCAGAACGTTAGCCAAGTTAGCTGGGCCATAAGGGCAGCTGGTGTTTTGCATAACACATACTAAAGTAATTACACAATGAAAGCAACAGTAGTTAATTTTTAAACAACAAATAAAGACAAAACTCACTGATTGAGATATTCACTCCTAATCTACTTAGATTGGTTTAACAACTTTTTAACTCTGAATATTGTCATGGTTGTAAAGTTTTGTTTTTTAACAAATGTAACCACATCGCACAACCTAAAACACCTAGTCACAAATGTATCTTTGTATTTCTGTATCAACTTCATCATAACATACAGTCCGGTGTCATTATTAATGCTCATTCCTTCTTTGTATTAATAAATGGAGTGTTTGAGGATGTGCTGTATGTCCTCCTGTAGGCTACACACATAAAATATAATTACTCATATTATAAAGCATATACTGTTTATTTATCACATACATGACAATTATACAACAACGGTGTTATTAATGTTAACACATTTTTACATTTTAAATATAGTTGAATAGAAAACAGTTAATTTAAACTGTAATATTTCACAATATTTACTTTTTTTAATAAATAAATGCAGCCTTAGTGAGCATTCCACTGACCTCAAACTTTTGAACGGTAGATTATACATTTATATTGAAACGGGTATTGGCTGAATAATATGTTTGAGGTGAAATGTCTACAGTTTAGGCTAAACATTGTCTGAATAAATTGCAAAAAATAATCCCCAAATGATCCCTGCTTTCTCCCTTTTTTAATTACTTGAAAATACTTCTAAAAACTCCTAAGGAGAAATACTTCAAGTTTAAATATTTTCATCCTAAAGCACTTTTTGTAAGTGGCTCTAGATAAAATTATCTGTTCAATTTTTAAAAAAAAATATAAACGTAAAAGAGTTTTTATGTTTTAATGACTCAAACAAGTCACAACAACACAATAGAAAGCACCAAACAAAGCATTTTCTTTATTTAAATAGTTTATTCTTTTTGGCTTTGATCTCACTTCTTCTTGCTTTTCTTGTCTTTGCTCTTCTTCTTGCCATGAGGTTGCGCATGTGCTTTGTTGTAGAGGTAGAGACCCACTAAGCCCAGTAAAGTGGGAACCAGCGCCAAACACAAAAGGGGCAAGACGTCGTTAACAAGCTTCTGCCAGGGCGTTTGTTGGGACAGAGAGATCACCTCCACCTCGAACTCAAGTGTGCTGTCCCCTGTGAGGAAAACAGATGTAAGATTATCACATCCACTCTGATTTAACCATCGCTCAACAGCTTTAAACAGCTTTTACTATAAAATATTGACAATTTTACTACTTCTGATGATGGTGGATTAGTTTATAGACTTTAAATATTTTTCACACATGTAAATAAGCTTTTGTGTATGGAAGCTTGTTTCTGCCACTTAATGAAAAATAAAAAAAAGGTAATTGCGACTTTTTATCTCACAATTCTGACTTTTTTTTCTCACAATTGTGAGTTTACATCTCGCAATTCTGACTTTATTTCACAGAATTGCGAGATATAAAGTCAGAATTGCATGATGTAAAGTCGGAATTGCGTGTTATAAAGTCAGAATTGCGAGATATAAAGTCAGAATTGGGAGATATAGTCAGAATTGGGAGATATAAAGTTAGAATTGTAAAATATAAAGTCAGAATTGTGTGTTATAAAGTTAGAAATGCATGATATAAAGTCGCTATTGCGTGTTGTAAAGTAAGAAATGCATGCTATAAAGTCGCAATTGCGTGTTATAAAGTTAGAAATGCATGATATAAAGTCGAAATTGCGTGTTGTAAAGTCAGAATTACATGATATAAAGTAAGAATTGCGAGATATAAAGTCAGAATTGTGAGATAAAGTCAGAATTGGGAGATATAAAGTCAGAATTGTGATATATAAAGTCACAGTTGTGTGTTATAAAGTCAGAAATGCATGATATAAAGTCGAAATTTCGTGTTGTAAAGTTAGAATTGTGAGATATAAACTATTCTGAGACTAACTTTTTTCCCTTTAGAATTGGCCTGATAACTCGCAATTCTGAGAAAATATGTCATAATTTCGAGATATAAACTCGCAATTGTGAGAAAAAAAGTCAGAATTGTGAGATAGTCTCAATTCTGTCTTTTTTCTCACAATTGTGACTTTATTTCTCACAATTGCGACTTTATATCTTGCAATTGCGACTTTATTTCTCAGAATTGCGATTTTATGTCTTGCAATTGCGACTTTATTTCTCACAATTCTGACTTCATATCTCGCAATTGTGAGATAAAAAGTCGCAATTATTATTATTTTATTTTTTTTTAATTCAGTGACGGAAACAAGCTTGCATAGTTGTGTGACACTGAACTATTTGCAGAGTGTTTTCACGGTTTCTGAACTCCCTGAAAAACCTCCATTTGTCGTCTTGAGGTTTCTTGCGGGAACAGATCCGTCACAGCATTCCTCATATAAATAATTCCTGGCCAATGCATACGAAAAATAAAGAGGGCGAGGTCTGGTTGAGTTGGGTTAGTTATGTGTTGTGCAATGTCCAAAAGATCACCATTGATCGACCAATCACAACACACTGGTCCAACTGACCAATCGGAGCACATTGTGCTTTTCAGAAGTAGGGGCTTCATAGAGACTGGAACAGGGCCATAAAATACCATGGGGAGGTCCCAAAATTAAGTTTGCTAAGGGGGTTCGGAGGAACCATACATTTTTGTCTCTCGGTGAAGAATGTAAACATGTTTTATACATCTTTTTTAGACAAGTGAATTTACTTAAAGCTACCACCAGGAAAGCTAACTTTATTAAATTCATTCACATGTGTACATTCATTATTAATCTTATGCCTATTAATATTATGAAAACGTTAATGTTTCTTGTCTCGCTGCATCGTTGCACTGTCGGTTACGAATTACATCACATGAACAAACGTAAGTCATCTATTTTCAATACAACATGGCGAAATTAGACAAATGTTTATTCGTTTATTAGCATCCCTGATTATTTCTATTGGTCGTTTAACATTTCTATGGTAAAACAGCTGTGAAATATTGAATGATTATTTTAGCTAATTATATCTTATGACCGTTAACTGAAGTGTTGTGCTGGTTTCTGTCAATTAAAAGCCTGCCTACTTTGTTTTGATTGGTCATCTCAAAAATGTTGACATTGACGAGTGGTGTTACTGACAGACTGGGAAGAGAGGTGCTGCAACAATGTAAAATATGTGACAAATCTGTTTTTTGAACATTTAAGCATGAAAACCTATTCTAGTAGACCCCAAAAACAAAATCAAGACTTTGGAAAAGGGCATAATTGGTCCTTTAAGTGTGTTGCCATGGTACCTGGAATGGTTGGAGGGTATCCTCTCTTTCCATACGCTAGATGTGCTGGAATCGTGGCCTTGATTTTTTGCCTGTGCAAGTACATAGACAAAAAAGACTTTCAAGTGGATGATTCAAACTTCACCCTAAAAGACCTTTTCTTTAAGTGGTCTTGAACATACTGTTCAATAGCTGTACTTTCACCATCTCCTCCTACATGCATCGATGCAATTGTACAGTACATTCCAAAGAGAAATACAGGCATTAACGTCGACTTACCCTTCACACACTCCGACCAGGGCTTGCTCTAGACCTGCCAATCAAAAAAAAGTTTTAAATGTATGTGCAATTGTGGAAACACCACCTCATTTCTGATGGTTTTACATAAGAAAACTGAGCCCAAAAAGCTGTCCTTAGTAATCATGACCATCTTGACATTATAGTTACCCTAACCAAAGAAAAAAAATCCTAAACAGTAGACATAGTCCTCAAAAATGAGGATATAGGATCCCAAGAGTCCCTATTTGTATATTTTGCTTAAAATAAGTGTCTACTAATGCTATCAAATCGATTCATCACGATTCTAACATAAAAGATTGCGTTTATATAACGTGTGTATATACGGTATATTATTATATGTATATACATATAATTTTAGATGGATTGGTCGATTTGACAAAAAAAACCCCATAATAATCAGAATGCTCTCATTATGAACAGAAAACAAAGTTAATTAATTTTTCAACTCACAATTCTGACTTTTTTTCCTCGCAATTGCAGGATATAAACTCGCAATTGTGAGTTATAAAGTTAGAATTGCGAGATAGCCTATAAACTCGCAATTGCGAGAGAAAAAATATGAATTGTGATATAAAAAGTTCT